AATATCAAACAAAACATATAAATAAATAGATGAATAAATGGTTAATAGACATATATAGCAGTACAAAATGAAGTGTTATAATTCAAACAAAGAATTCGTTTAATGAATAACAGCATTTTTCATTTAAAACGTTCATCAATCTTTTTTTGAAAATGATCACATTGGGTGCGGATTTGATTTCATCATTCAATTTATTATACAATTTGCACCCGATGAAATAAAAACTCCTTTGATAAAGTGTAGTGGAGTGAGAGTTGGGTTGTAAAAAGTTGCAGTAGCGAGTGTTATGATCATGCTTAGGTAGGCAAGTTGCAGTGCAGTTCATTTTATAGAAATATATACATACTTCTGATATATATGCTGTAAGGATTTTGTGTTTCTTGAAGAGTTCTCTACAGCTAGTCCTCGTGTCAGTATTTTCAATAATACGGAACACATATTTTTGTAAAATAAACACTATGTTTGCTGTGGCACTATTTCCCCACGTAAGTATTCCATATCTTATATTGGAGTGAAAGTTGGCATAATATAAAGTTTTCAAAATTTCCTTACTACAGTGATTTTTCATATATTTGATGCTGTAGCACGCACTACGTAGTTTTTTGCATAGTTGGTCAATATGCTCATTCCATAACAGCTGCCTATCGAATGTGATTCCTAACAATTTCACATTAAAATAGAGCAGGACAATTCTTTTTCTGTGTTTTTGAAGATAATAGGTGGATCTTGCCTTCTACGTCCGAAATATACTAACACTGTTTTTTTGTGGTTTAATAGCAAGTTGTTATTTCTCGACCAACTTAGTACATTACAGTATACTCTTTCTGTGGAATCAATGAGTGATTTTTGATTGTCACCAGAGATAATGATGTTAGTATCATCTGCGTAGCAAATAATCTTAACATTTGTAATCTTTTCGACACAATATATGAGGTCATTCGCAAATATGTTGAAAAGTAGAGGACCCAGAACTGATCCCTGTGGAACACCCTGTGTGATGCTACAAGAAAGACTACGAGTATCATTGAGTAAAACAACCTAGTTTCTATGGACGAGATAGGATTGAAATAATTTCAGAGGGATGCCTCTCATTCCATATCTTTCAAGTTTAGCCAGTAGGATGCTATGGTCAACTACATGGACCTTTGTCCAGCCTACAGACGAGTTCATATTGAACAGTATTCAAAGCTGTATCAGTACTCATATTAGTACGAAACCCATGTTGACTTGATGATAATAGTTTATATTGATTCATGAATGAGTACAGCTGATATTTTACGTTGATTTCAATGATTTTTGGAAAACTACAAAGTAAGCTGATGGCTCTGTAATTGGCAAGATCATTGCAATCGCCTTTTTAATATAATGGCATTATCTCGGCTAGTTTGAGACAGTCTGGAAAAGTGCCAGTTTCAAAGGATTTATTTAATAAGAATACCAGGGGAGCACATAAGTAAGGAGATGCTTTTTTAATCAAATTGTTCGAAATTTGATCGTATCCTGATGAATTTGAAGTCTTCAAAGTATCGATCAGGGTTTTGACGTCTGTAAGTGTAACTGGTTTCAGAAAAAAGGAGGAGTTACAGATAGGTATATTTGAAGTGATAGGACCAAGGTCATTATTGCGGTTTTGAATGATATCTCTCGAGAAATGCGTATTGAAATCATATTTTTTTGTATTGAGATTGAACGATTTCAAATACATAATAAACAATACATTGACATTTCCATGAAGCTTGAACAATATATAAACGTTATTTCAAAGTCCATTATATTCAACTTATGAAGTGAAGGTTCATAATGCGGTATTTTGGTAAATTTTGATCATAAATAACTCAACTATTTTACATCCAAATATGCAACTCATACACTACCGGACAAAAGTAAAGCAACAGTTTCGAAAAATGAAAGAAATCTTGATTTTATAATAGTGAATGCATGATATTGTATTAAAATATATTGTGTCTTAAATATCAAAGTAGTCTGCTGTTATCGACGTCAACAGCTTTTTCCAACAATCAAAACAAATAAACTGATATTGACGTAAACTTTCAAATACAGAATTGTAATGCGTCAAAAGTAAAGCAACATTTTAATATTTTTCTAAAAAACAAAGGTTTTAGTGAAAGGAAAAGTAAAAAAAAATTGCCGACTTTATTTTATGTTTAACTAATATTTCTGTGCTGGATTAATCATGCCAAGAGGTATTCCAATTGCGAAAGAATTGAAGCAGAGAGTAGTAAATGCGCACTTGGAAGGTGCAATACAAGCCACAATTTCAAGACGGTTTGTTTAACCCAGATACAGCGTATCCAAAATAATTTCAAGTTACCATGAAAGGGGACATTTTGAGATTCTACCTAAATCTGGAAGACCGAGAAAAACAACAATTTGGACAGACAGACGTATTAAAAGAATTTCTCAGAACGATCCTTGGTTGTCTGCACCTAGAATTATTACTGAAATTCCCGTAATTATGGTTAGTCCACGAACAGCGCAAAGAAGGTTGTTAGACGCAAAGCTATTTAGTAGACGCCCCGCTAAAAAACCGCTTATTTCGGCAAGAAATAGAGTGGCTAGGCTTGAATTTGCACGTCGACATTTGAATTGGACAGTAGACGAGTGGAAAAAAGTTCTATTTAGCGATGAAACGCGTTGTAAGATTTTCAATTCTGATGGAATGAAGCGTGTGAGACGGCCAATCAACACAAGGTTTAATCCCAAATACGTTACACCCACAGTTAAACATGGTGAAGGCAGTGTTTTTATGGGGTTGTTTCTCATGGAATGGGGTAGGCCCTTTAAGCTTTATTAATGACACCATGGATCGATTTGTCTATAGAGATATAATGCAAAATGTAATGTTGCCTTATGCAGAGTGGGGAATGCCGTTGAGTTTTATTTTCCAACAGGATAACGATCCCAAAACACTCTTCAAGAGTGGTTTCAAGAAAATAATGTTCGGGTTTTGCAGTGGCCGGCACAATCCCCAGACCTTAACCCCATTGAAAATCTATGGGAGGAAGTAGAACGTGGAATTCGTACACAAATATTTCCAAATAAACAATCATTGTGAATAAAATCAATGAAGTTTGGACAAATCTTCCCGAAAATAATTTTCAAAAATTAATTGATTCAAAGACGCGACGTTGTCGGCAAGTAATGAATAATAATAGATATTCAATTAACTATTAATATAATACTTCTGGCTATTGTAATTATTAAATGTGTTTAATGTTCTTTCATTGTAATATCTAGAATAAAATACTGTTGACACAATTTGTTGCTTTACTTATGTCGCATTGCATTTCGTCGATTTTGATAATTATAAGTATTTCTCTACCTTTATTTTGTTTAAAGTGTACCAAAATATTGTGAAATATTACTGATATTGTTGGGATCATATTTCATTAAAATTAGCCGGGGATCACAATCATATAAATAAATCTTCAGATTCAAAGAAATAACAACACTTTGTTGCTTTACTTTTGTCCAATAGTGTATATATTTTTGAAATCAGAAAAAAAGGCTCTATCGACATGTAAATTATATAGGGCGTTCCATTGAAAAAATTCAAGTTGATATCCTTTCTGGAAAAACGAATGAACCTGTATATGAAACAATTTCACGAAAGTTTGGGTTGTTTCACACAACTTTTTCATTTAACATTTTTTCATATCTCTTAAAACAAAAGAGTTAAGGGGGGATTCCATTTTAAGAGGCGCACCCTGTACACACAGAAAAATATTTGTGCCAACCCGTAGGGGAGATGGAAATCGCAAAAATATACGAAAAAATTCATTTTCTCAAATATTATGGCGCGTGTCATCTTGAACTATTTGACAGGTCATTGAACATGTCATCACCAATACATACACACAGAAAAATATATATGCCAACACGTAGGGGAGATGGAAATCTCAAGAATATTGGAAAAAATTCATTTTCTCAATTATTACGGCGCTTGTCATCTTGAACACTTTGACAGGTCATTGAGCATATGATTATCGATACATACACACAGAAAAATATCTGTGCCATCTCGTAGGGGAGATGGAAATCTCAAAAATATTCGAAAAAATTCATTTTCTCAATTATTACTGCGCGTGTCATCTTGAACTATTTGACAGGTCATTAAACATATCATTACCAATACATACACACAGAAAAATATCTGTGCCAGGACGTTGGGGAGACGGAAATCACAAAAATATATGAAAAAATTCATTTTCTCAAATATTATAGCTCATGTCATCTTGAACTATTTGACAGGTCATTGAACATGTCATCACCAATACATACACACAGAAAAATATATATGCCAACACGTAGGGGGGATGGAAATCTCAAAAATATTGGAAAAAATTCATTTTCTCAATTATTATGGCGCCTGTCACCTGGAACTATTCGAAGGATCATTGAACACTTCATAACCAATAGGTAGACACAGAAAAACATTTGTGCCAACCTGTAGGGGAGATGGACTTTGCAAAAATTTTCATTTTTCCAATTATTAAATTATTATTTTTAAATTTTGCAGGTTATAAGTTCTTGGGAATACTTTCACAGGCAAAGAATTCCAAAGCTTCTCCATTCTATAGAATGGTTTTGGTAGAATGTTGCTCTCAACATTTTAATGATGAAGGGATGTGCTGACTAGGCCTGTTGAGATCGTCTGACTGGTATTGCTAGTGATGTAATTATAGCAGAGATTTCTGAGGAACATTTCCCATGGAAGTATCTATAGAATAGGGAAAGGTGGCCGACTTTTCTACGGTGTTGTAATGGGGTCAAAAAGTTAGTAAGTGTGACATCAGGTGAATGGCTCTTCTCTGGATGGAATCTAACAGGATCATCTTATGTTTGGGTGCTGACCCCATACATGAAAACCAGTATTCTAAAACTGGCGGTTTCTATCTGTGCTTTGTAGATCATGAGAAGTTGTTGAGGCGAAAAGTAGATTTTCGCACGGAATGAATAATACCGAGCATGGTACTTACATTTTGACGGTTCCTTTGGGCCCCAAATTGGATTTCATCACATCCTGAATACCCTTGGCAGCGGAAATGTTTACAGCTAATGCTTGGGCAGCACGAGCCACTTCGGCTTTGGGATTCAATAAACTTATAGCCATAATATTAGATATTGAGAAAATGAAGATGAAAACTCTCGCTAGTCGCCACTCGTGGTAAGACAAAATTAGTTTTGTTTGACAATGACAAGATTGACAAGCGACAAATATTACAAGAAATGTCAACTTCCAATGTCAAATGTCTTCCGTGAATCTCGACAGCTGTGTACACTACATCCATCATTTTGGCTTCCACCCATCTTCCACCGCACGTATGTGCACACAATGATGCCAGGTCAGTTGAACAGATTATCAAACGAATGTCGGGCCGCGATGCCGCACTCTTTGAACTTTCAAAGGGAACGACGGCTTGCGGTGATGTGTTCTTCCAACTGACTTCGTATAAAATATAACCCCTGTTTTATAGATACTAGGGACCCTTGATGGAAATTTACGTTAAAGTCATCTTAACAGGGTACGGGTCATAGCTGCAATTCTTCTTTAATGATCTAGAGACTTTAGTTTTTTCTACTGGCATCCCTGACATTGTTGTCACGTCCATGGGCGCTACAGGAAATCATTCAAAATTTTAATAATACTTGTTGAGGAAGATCATATGGGGATCGAGTTTATTCGAAATTGGTATCTGGGGGTATTCGGGGTAGGAGATAATGACTGTTGCGTGAAAATTGTAAAATTCAGGACGACGGATCGAATGATAATATGGCGAAGGACATTTCTAATTGTTTTCGGGGTGGAACTTCATGATTTTTTGTCAAAATTGGGATATTCAAGATGGCAGATCCATTATGGCGAACGAGTTTTGTAATAAATAGTTGTTTGAAAAATCAATTGAACACGCGTTCGTAGATATTTAGTCGAATTAAGAAGAAGTAGAACATAAATAGTAGTTTAAAAACCTGAAGAGATAGATTGCCGAGCTGAAAAGGAGTGTAAAATGAATAGTATCTTGTAAAACTAATAAAACACGCTTTTATGAATAGCAGAACTGAAAAGAAGTAGGAAATGAAATAAATAAAGTGTGCTGGTAAATATTCAACTAAGAGAATATTTTCTAGAAATATTGTGTATAGCAAAACAACGTTTGCCAAGTCAGCTAGTAATCTAGTAATGATTTTTATTATTCGTTCCCAATATTCTTTGTATGTATATATACGCTGTGTTGTAAACATTCATTTTACTTGATTCTTTGGGATTTTCTCTCATCGTTTCTATTAAATAAAAGTATTCGTATTATTTCAATATATTTGTAGAGGGACAAATCAGATGATTTTTTTGTTATATGTGAACAATATTGAATCCATCTCCAAAGAGGCTCATTTCACATTATATGCAGATGATACTTCACTTGTTACATCAGATAGAATAGATCAAAATCTACAAATTAAAGGTAACTTAATTCTACAAAATTTAAATACCTGGTTTAAGGAAAACTCCCTATATCTGAATAATCAGAAAACGCACTTGATACGATTTCATACTAGACAAAAAGAAGTTGCCAGTCTCAACTTGAAAATTGAAGATGATGAAATTTCTCCGTGCTCTACGGTGAAGTTTTTAGGTGTACACTTGGATGAATTTCTCAGCTGGAAAGTTCATTGTGGAACAATTATATCAAAACTGAACTCTATGAATTTCCTTCTTAGAAACCTTCGTCATATTCTCGAACAAAAACAGCTGATTATGCTGTATTATGCCCAAGTCGAATCCCGCCTTCGGTATGGTATTACTTTCTGGGGATCTTCTTCCTCATGCAGAGATGTTTTTGTCGCCCAGAAAAAAAATTATAAGATGTATAGCAGGAGTCTCGAGAAGTACAAGCTGCAAGAGCTTTTTTAAAAATTTCAAAATACTAACATTACCGTGCTTGTATATATTTGAATTATGCGTTTTTGTATTTGACAACCGTAACTGTTTTGTAAGGAATGAAAATGTGCATACTATTAATACTAGATCTAAGACAGACTTTTATGTACCATTTTGTAAAAACTTATTGACCTATAATTCTCCAAATGTGATTGGGCTCAGATTATTTAATCTGCTCCCCATTGAACTGAAAAACTCTAGTACTATCTATAGCTTTAAAATTGCACTCAAGTCCTTCCTTTTAGAAAAAAATTATTACTCCATTCAGGAAATGATTGAATAAGTATTTGGTGTTGTAATCCATTTTCAACTAATTGTCCTTGAATAATGTGTTTATGTACTAATTGTCCTTGAATAATGTGTTTATGTGTTACTGCTTGTAAAATTTCTACTTACTTATTTTAGCTTTTATTGTTAAGGTTCTTTCGTGACTAATCCTACACAATGTAACATTTGATTGTCTTACAGGATAATAAAAATTATTATTATTATTATTATTATAATTCAAGTCTACAAATAAGTTACAGGATGTTTTCATTAATTGATCTTGAATCTACCATTTTCATGTTCAGTTTTCAGTAGTGAATACCATGTTCTATCTATATCAACTGAACAGGAAGCAATGCTATTGTCTCCGTTTAGAAGAATGCAAGTGGATTCCTTGATTTTTCTTTTTTTGGTTGTTATCTTCCTTTCCTATGATTTTGATATTATTCCACTCTGCCATATGTTGTCCATATTCAGTAAGGATATGTTCAGTTAGCTTCGATTAATCGATATCTTTTCTTGATATTGTACTTGTGTTCTTTAGTCCTTACTGAGAGAGGTCTTTTCGTTTTACCTGTATAATACTTTCCACAAACACAATAAGGTATACTATAAATACAATTTTTTCGCTTTGTTTGAGTTAGAATGGATCTCATTGTATTTTCAGTTTTGAACACAGTTTCCACTTGGAACTTATCACCAACACGTTTTATTTTTTCAGATATGCCGGGAATGTACGGTATTATATTCGTCGTTATTGATGGTTGTTTTTGTTGTGGTGTATTTTGTTTGTTTTCAATTTGGTGAATCCTTCTATCAATGAAGTTCCTTGGATATGAGTTGAGTTGAAGAACATCTCTGATGTGGTGGATTTCGTTATTGAAAATTCGTTGGTTAGATGATATTGACTTGGCTCGATCATGAAGTGATCTGATTATTCCTTTTTTGATAGTTTTCTGATTTGTCCCTCTACAAATATATTGAAATAATACGAATAGGTACTTTTATTTTATAGAAACGAGGAGAGAAAATCCCAAAGAATCAGGTAAAAATGAACCTACCACCTCCTCGATTAACCTACAGACAGTATCTAAGATAAAACATTTTACGATTAAATAAGGATATTATTTACTGAATACGATATTTCCTATTCTCTTTTGCGTAATGTGCTGTGTTAGGCTGTGCCAATTAGTTAGATGGCAAATTTCAATTTGTAAGCTCTCCAACAGATGAAGATAAACTCAAAACGTGGAAAATAAACAAGAAGGGACCGAACCGGAAAATCGGTAAAATGAGCAAAATATGCGAGGTAAAAATGATAAAAAATCACATATACTTTTTCATTGTGCTCATCACCCTACAAATTTTCAGATGCACTAGTGCGGAAAAAACTTTTTCCGCCTACCTCTATCCAAAGTAAATATTTCCTTGCCTCAATGCAGGGAGCAACGTCGTACCTATTTTTCCTCCCTAAGGAGGGGAAGTTCTTGTTCTCCATAACTTTTTCTTCATTGGGAGAGTTTATATATAATTATTACTCTACCACAAATTGAAAATATGTAGGATGCAAGAGTGAAAAGAACATGCCCATAATAATTTATACTGTATACCGACTTCTTCGTTACTTTCATCAATATATTATTTGAAAATGAGTTTTTATTCAAGGGAGACGCGAAAATCATATGTATAACATGGGGGTAAAGTATATTCTATTCGTATTACTTTTTACAAGCATACTTTTCGTCCTAGAATTAGTCACTCCATAAATTGTTCTCCGAGTTGGACACATGACATGAGTAGTAGATACCAATATCTAATTGAATTGAAATTTTAAAGATTTAAACTCAGCAGATTCAACAAAATTGAATTAGTACTAGTTTATTTACAGAAGTAAATCGCGCGACAAGCTTTTTGATAATTAAAATTATAAACTAACATTTCATTCTATTCTTCCAGAGCATTTGAATAAAAGCTTTTTATTATTTTTTTTTACTGTAAAGTTATTGGAGAACATTGTGAATTGTTTCAAAGCACGAGGATCAACCTGTTCAAGCCTCGAGGTATTTCTATTCTACCAATGGGTGATAGCCTGGATTACAAATATTTGGTACCTACTGCTACATCTGGAGTTCTGTTATGTGCGACAGCAATAGGAGCTTTCGCAAATCGGACATGACGTCAGTTCAAGATAGGACCTCTGAATAGGTATCGAAAAACTAAAGGTTTCCCTCAAGCTACTATATACCTTCATGTCCATGAGAACAATAATCTCCAACCCAAACCCTATTATGATGCTTCTCAGGACTACTTAATAAATATCATTTCAGAACAATTATATAATATTATTAATGTAAATCTAAATCAAGCAATAAACCCAACCTTCCTTCTGCATGGGTTGCATGCAAGAACTGTCAAATGGCTGACCCTGGAGGCACAACATTGAAACACAATCTCACTTTTCTTATTTGTTTACAAATTATTGGAATAGTTTTTCTCAATTATTTTGGCATACGAATCGCATTTTTCGGCTATTCATTAATTCGCGCATGCCATCACATTATGCCGTTCTACAATGCACAAACACTGCAGCGGAAGACGAAGGAATCCGGTTGGTACATTATGATTTAAAAGTAAGTACCTACTATAGTCACTCACATATAGTTTTCAGTTTTGAAATTTGGTAATTTTTCTGATTTATCATCGGAATTCCTTCTGCAATAGGAGCTAATTGAAATACTCGTGAAATTTCTGAAATAATGCAAGAAGATTGGATTCATGTAATCAAACGGGAGGACTGGTCTGACATGCTGACGAAATATGATCGTGTGTGTTGTACACATTTTCAATCTTTTAGCAGTATTAGCTTGTATTGCAGAAGTGGAAGAAGGCATTTTAATAAGGAATGACAACATTTCATAATGATAACTATGTGAGATTACTATTTACCTAAAAAATCACATTCCTTCGTCTCTCGCTGTATAT